CTTTTTTGACTCTGTTACCTATACACAGTTAAGGACTAATGATAAAGAAGTTTGCAATAGATGCTGTGGACTGAATTTCCAAACTTGCTTTAATATTTAGTTTTCCATTTTAGTTTTTCATTTACCTTTGGTCTGGAGGGCTTCTTTTGCCTTTTGAAAACATTATAAGAATTTTAATGATATGGATCATATATCACAAATAACTTAATGTAAGCTGCTTAAAGTGATTGAGTTCCAAAGGAACACCAAGGCACACAATTATGTACTACCTTTTCTGTTGAGAACAGAAAAATTTTCCCATGCTGTGGAATTGAGACATATTCCCTTTCACAAATTTAGAAAAAAATGAACATGTGTTCTATGATCTGAACAACTGGGATTTGCTTCTCTACTACAAAATATTAGATTACAACATTTGTCATCCCAAAATATTTAACCCAAATTCCATATATCTTCTATTCACTGTGGTTTGGATGCATAAATGTATAATTTAGCTAAAAAATGTAGAACTAAGCTTCGTTGTTATTTTTAATACAATAAAATTGACCATGAAACACTTTCAATATAATATAGAAAATGCTATCATCCTGGGGCTGTAGACAAACATGCAAATATTAATGTTCTAGTGCTAATTCAGTTTTCCCAATCAGGAAAACAAAGCTATGAACACTGTTTTAATTTCGTATTATGGATTTTCCTTCACCTTACACAATATTTTCACCATATATATGTACTTAATTTTCAGGCTGCAATCATTTATATCACAAGAAAGGAAAGATTGACTTACTATCAAAATGTCATATGGAAAAAAATATCAAAAAAAGACTAATTTCATCTCTGTATCCTCTATCTCTTTTCTGTATTTATAAATCCATAAGAAGGTTAACCACAAAAGCTTTTGATATCCCTAAAAGAGACTTGAAGGACTTAAATATTGTAAGCATGTGAAATGCACTAAAAGGGTTTAATGCCTTCAAACTATAAAAGCAAACTAGAAAAATCTTACAAGTTGATAGAATCTAATTGAATTTTTACTCCAGTACAATTCAGCAAACCGCAGTTACAACTCCTAGGTTACTGCCTATTTGTTACTCTTTGTTACTTGCTTTCTGAAATACTGAGAACATGTCATCACTAATGTTGAGTTACTCTATTGAGGACATTGTTATTAAAATGCTGTGAAAGTTTAGCCTGGAAGCATTATAGACTGTGATAACTAAATCCATGTATGGTTAAAATTTAGAAACTTACTTCCTCACTAATACACAGCAAACAAGCAACTGTGCTCTTGGAATTTGTTCAAATGTTCTTTTGACATGCAATTTTTGTGAAAGTATAAAGTAGTTTCTCTGTACCAAGAATTCATTTTCTTCTATAAAAACTTCAGACATAGATACAAACTGAACTCTAAATATTTATCCAAATATATTACACTATTATGTAACAGCTAACTTAATGACGCATATTGGGAAAAAGTAAATGACCACTTGTAAGATTTGTTCTGTTAAGAAAATAAAAGTGAATCAAAAAATTCCTTTAACATAAATAGTTAAAAAATAATAAGAGTAGACTACTAACAGTTTATTGGGCAAAATAATAACATAATAATGTTAGATGTTCAAGCTTTGATGAATCTAAATAACTGTCATCTAAAATAATATGATGAGAATAACTTTTAATATTACATAATACCACAAAGATTTGCTGTCATAAAGGACTTTAGGAACACATTCCCCATGTAGGGATACTCCCTTAACCTAAAGGCAGGAGGGAGGGCCTAGCCCTACTCCAAATGGGAGGGAGGGAGAGAAAAAGGGAGGATGGAAATGGAAACTGGGATCAATATGTAAAATAAGAAAAATAAATAAACTAAAAAGTAAAAAATAAAAATTGAGTTTTTAAAAATTCCAAAATCTATCTTCCAAAGTAGACACAAGCACATTTTTCTCAGTAGTAAATTTTAGTTTAAAATTAATAAGTGTAATACAGGATCTTTGTTTTTGTTAACTGAAATGTGAAAGTGAAAGTATGAAAATAATATGCTAAGCCAGAAATACTTCTGAATATGTTAGAAACATCCTTTAAAGGAATAACATGATTTTAAAAATTCCCTACAAAACAATGCACAAAGTTAATCCTTTAAACAAAAGTTATAGTTATTTTCTACATTTTATAATTTTTCCCAGATCAGGTCATACATAAGAGTGAACAGTAGGGCGAGAACTTGTCAGGTGTCCTTGTTTCTAAATTGGACACCAATATTCTTAATCAGAACTTTCCTTTCAACAACTGGATCAGGGGGAACTTACAGAGTGACTGAGGTGTTGGAGATGGGGACAAAGATTTTTTGTGGGGGAGGGGTCCCATCTACATATGCCATCTTGCTTATTTCTAGGTGTGTGTGTATGTGAGTGTGGGCATGTGTGTGTATGTGAGATTCATTAGAAAATCATATAGGTGGTTAAGAGTAGCAGAGTCACTTAGCTGTCAGTTCTGCCTTTGTATTTTTGCTCTCCAATTAAGTATTGCATTTTAGTTCATGTTGGTAATTGGAGACTCATATGTCTTTTAGATAAAAAGAAACATGTATAATGGTCAAACTTGTCAAATGGCTTTCTATAAATTGAGGGGCAGCAGGAAGTTTTGAGGTATATTCTGTCATGCTCTTCGCTTCTGAATTTTTTCAGACTCTAAAATTTGTGAAGAAGTTCACACCCGGGCGATCTACGGCTACCTGGTTTCTAGTCATCCCTCTGATCCAAGTCTTCATCATAGCCTCCTATCTCTGACATCTGATGAAATAGTAGGCCCTTGAATGTGTGTGTTTGCATGGACCTCAAGCCCTTTGAGTTTTTATTTCCTGTAAACTCACAGACTGCTATGTTTGGAACCCTTAGTTTAACTTTGTTTCTTGTTTTGTTTTGTTTTGTTTTGGAGAGAGCATGAGGTGTTCCCCTCTTCCCATGCCACCACCAACTCCAAAGGTGAAAACCAAGCAATGTGATTACATTGGGAAGTAAACTTCATTTTGAAATTTCTGACTCTAGAGAAATGTCCAGAGACCTACAAGACTGACCCCAAGTGGAAAGGCTACAATAAATGCCCTTCCCTGATAATGAGATCACGACAAACTTGTCCACCATCATAGAGCCTTCATATAGTAGCTGATAGAAACAGAAGCAGACACCCACAAATAACACTGAGCCAAACTGGAATCCAGATGCAGAGAGGGAGGACAAGACCAGGCTACAGAAACCCACAGAGACACCTGACCTGAACAAGGAAAAGCTAATGGGCCCCCAGACTGATAGCTTGGAATTCACCATCGGACTGACTCAGACACCCTGAACATGGGTCTCAGCTAGAAGGCCTGGGCAGTCTAAGGGACCTCTGATAATGGAACCAGGATGTATCCCTGGTGCAGGAAAGGACTTTGGGAGCACATACCCAATGCAGTGATACTCCCTTAACCTAGAAGCAGGAGAGAGGGCCTAGTAGTCCCTACTCCAAATGAGTTGACAGATTTAGATGATCCCTCCTAGAAGGCATCACCCTACATGTGTAGTGGGAGGGGGAATAGGAGGGGAGGGTGATCGGGGGCATGGAAGGGTGGGAGATTGTAAGGAGTACGTTTTTTCGCCCGCCGCCTGGTCTTGTCCCGCCGCCGCGCCAGCCCCAAATAACACACAGAGACTCTGTATTTGATATTAAGCTGTTGGCTAGTTACTAGTTTCTTATCGGCTAGCTCTGTCTTAATTATTAACCCATTTCTGTTGATCTATGTATTTTCACGTGGTCTCCTTACCGGGGAGTGGGGCAGGCATCTGGTCTCCCCAGTGTCTCCATCTTGACTCTTCCTTACTACTTCCTATTTCCTCCTTATCTCCTAGCCCCTCCTATCTTCCTTTCCTATTGGCCAACAGTGCTTTGTTCATTAACCAGCATGAGAAACATTTACAGAATGACATCTCCCATCAGGAGATGGAGGAAAGGAGGCAGAGAGGGAAGAGCGAACTGGGATTGATATGTAAAATAAGAAAATTAAGTGAAGAAAATAATAAATAAATAAATTGCTTTTTCTTGAAGTTTTTGTCCGAGATCTATAGAGAAAGGTGGGCCTAACAAAAATCTGTTGGTCACCTTTGCAGTTTGGATATCTTTTGCAAATTTCCGAAATGCAACTCAGTGTAGATGATCTAACTTGCAGTGTTCACTTTTATCTCTCTGCATTCAATAGAATGCCTTTGAAGAATGCTAAGTTTGTTTGTTTGCAGGGTGAAAGGGTCTTGTGAACCTTAAACTCACTCAGGAACAAAGAATTCCTTTTGGAATTTTCATTTCTCTGCTTCATCTTTCATCCACTGGTATATACACTCATGTGAGCACAGTAACAGCAGATTCTAAAACCCAGAGTGCGAGATTTAGAAAATGTATTTCAAGATCTGGGGCTCTTGTGCAGCAAACAGAGCGAAACAATATCACTAATTTAGGTCGATAAAGTTGGCTGGAAAAGAAATAATAGCAGAAACAGACTCTTTTTACTTTCTCTTTCTTCTTCTTTTTTTTTTTTTTTCCTCCCAGTACTGTAACTAACAAATAGGGAGGGATCACAGAAACAGGGCTTTTCATTAGAAGCACTAAATCTTAATGTCCAATGACTCAGTTTCCAGTAATACATGTTTTAAATTCTATTTTAATCCTTGGTTGTTCCTTTAATAATTTATGGTTATGTCTCAACTTGAAGGAAGATTTTGTGTGCTGTGTAATTTAAAGCTGAAAAGATTCCCCGTGTCTTTTCTTATATGACTTAAGGGGGTTTTGTTAGGTATCTTTCATATTTTACAAGGAACACCATATTTCATCACATCAGGGTCAACAATATTAACCATCTGGTAATTTATCTGTCCTCTGTACTCTATTCCTCCTGTAATTCTGAACTCAGAAGCAATCATTCACAATGTTCACTCAAGCCTCATAACTGGTTGGCTCCAGAATTGGTCATGCCTGCATTCCCTGGCGTAACAAGTATGTTAAGATCTGGAAGCAGTTTTTTCATGTTACTCATTCCATTCACTCTGGTAACAGTGTGAGGTTTAGGTAGAAAGGAGTTAGTTCCTTGACTGAAGAAAAAAATCCCTTACAAATTGTAAGGACTCTTATTTGGATGAGATAAGTCACAGGCCTTGAAAACTTAAGGCTAGGCCCTGGATAATTGCACAATATGAGCCAATGACCAGACCAAAGTCTATAACTGGCTGCTACTCCTTCTCTATGAACCTCACAGCAGACAGGTTACAGCTGTTTCTTTATTCCTTATACAAAATGCAAGGCATGCTGTAAAGCTGGCTAAGAAAGGATGATAATTGCTATAATTGGTATTAAATATAATCAATGCAATAGGTTTTCTTAAAGACAATGAATTCATTTTAATAATTTATGTGTTACAATGTACATTGCTAGAGGTTAATTAAAGTGATTAAAAGTTATCCTTAAATTTTAAGGCAGGTAAAACCAAAACAATACAGAGAAACCCTGCCTTAAAAAACCAAAGGAAAGAAAAAAAATATTCTACTCTAGTTACTATGTATGTGTACATGTAGGATAGCAGCAATATATTTTGGATTGGTTGACTGACAGATTGCTTAAGAAATGTGAGGAAAAATTAAGACAGAAAAGTTAGTTCAAAAGTTTTATTTAGGTCAACCAAATATAAAGCCAGGTGCTTATTTGGAAACTTTGGGAGTTTATTCATAATTCTCTATAAAATGTTAGATTTCAGGTATTATTTTAAATATTCAGTTGAAAGATAATTCATCCAAAACATCCAGCATAATTGGCCCTTGGAAACAAGACAGTTTACCCATGAACGTGTAATATAGTATAAAAAGTTGAAGGTTGTTCATGAAAAGTACCATCATAAAGAAGCTTTAATAGCAGAACTAAGATAAAAAGCCATCAAGCTGAAAGGGATTGGAAAAGCCTGGATCCTATAGGCAAGTATGAAAGATCATTTTTAGTGAAGCTGCTGCAAAACAGAACACAGGTACCTAGATATTCTTTTAGGTAAGATAAAGCAGGGACAAAGAATTGGCATGGAAAAGACAGCATGAGATTAATAGAGAGAAGTTTGTGCCTATAGAAGACTACAATGATCATTTCTCTGTGCAGGGTAACATGGCTGTAGCTACTGGTTTGGAGACATGATGAGATCCATTGGTAGAATTTTGTAGGTTTCTATTTAGTATCTCCAGATAAAATCCAGGACATCTAACCTCCAATTACATTTAACATTCAGACCATAAAACATTTAATTTAGTATCAATTTATCCCAAAGATTTTATAGGAGACACAAACAAAAGTAGCTGTTATATATTTAAAACTCAAACTTAACTGGCCATCTTAGATTTTTATTTAATTTTCACAACCTTATTTCTGTTATCATAAAGGGGTTGTGCTTAATATTTATTATGATCCATGGATTTCAATCAAGACATTCATTGGTAAATAATATGTCACTTTCTTGTTATGAGGAAATCCTATTCTATTGAATGTATAGTGTAGAGACAGCATGGGCAATAAGCATGGGAACACTCTGGAGGCAAGCACATTTCTGACTGTGACTAGTTCTCTATTTGAGAGAGAGAGAGAGAGAGAGAGAGAGAGAGAGAGAGAGAGAGAGAGAGAGAGAGAAAGACTGCAATGGACAGCTCTAAGCAGCTCTAAGAAGTTCAAGCAGGCCTTGAACTTAAAATCTTCATGTATCAGCCTCTTGAGTATTACGTTTAAGCTTTGGGCCACCATGGCAAAGTACAGGCAATATCACATACAGATAAGTGTTATATTGGGACTAGATGTTGTTATAAACAGTTAAAACAAGTGATTGTTTGGAGCTGATTCATTGGATGTAAGTTTTTTGAAAAGTACATTTCTATGCTAAAAATGATAAGAATGTGTAGCATTAGCAGATTAGAGATTAGATTGGATTAAAGTGATACTGAAAATAAATGTATAGGACTGTAAGATTTGAATGGGAGACCTGAAGAAGTAGATATGATAAATCTCCAAGTTTCCAAAGCAATGTTTATTTCTCATTTTGGGGAATAAAGGAAATGAAACTAAGAATCTTAAATATTTTTAAAATACCTCACCAAGTAAAATTATAATAGAAATTTTAATACAGTGAGGTAAATGTCAAAGTGTACAATCTTATCTGTCTCCTGATACCACCTTCAGGAATTCTGAAAAATGCCTGTAATTATTTTAGAAGCAGCCTCCATTTAATAGTGCTCAAAAAATGTCTGGGGAAAAATGTTTGAAAGAAAGAGAGGTAGCTCATTGGGAAAAGTGATGGCTGCACATGTACAAAGTCATGGAATCCACATTGCAAGAGAAAGGATGGATTCTTGAATGTTGTGCTCTGACTCCCACAAGAGTGCTGCAACACATGAACATACCTAAGGCACACACACACACACACACACACACACACACACACACACACAGGTGTGGGTGCATGCGTGTGCAAGCACACTCACTAAAAGAGCATTTACAAATAATGGTGGGAAAGATGAAGAAATCTGAGCTTCTTTGGAACTCTTATCTTTCTATGTCCTAAACTGAAATTCCAGGTGTTGAACACTTAAAGACAATGCCATCACCCCGAATTATAAAGACACATCTACCAGTTGATCCACTCCCAAAATCTTTCTGGGAGAACAACTGCAAGGTACAGTGTGGCATGAAGGCTGAGCTACCATTTGAACCCTGTCCGTTCATCTATTCTTATTGTGAGAAATAGTAGCATGCTTTGTAGCCCAGGAAACTAAACTACACAAGTAAGTGATTGATATTTTATACTTCCATCTTCTGCCTCCCCCCCACCTGACCTCTTCTTTCCCTTCTTCTCTCTCTTCTGGCTTCTTTCCTTTTCTCCTCTTCCCTCATCTCTTATATAATTCTGGTTTGGTTTTGTTTGTTTGAGACAGGATATTGCTATATATGCCAGGCTGGCCTTGAAATTTATATCACCCTCCTGATCTTCTTTCCCCAGCCACCCAAGTTCTATAATACTGGGAGTTTACCACTATGAACAAATAAGTTACTTTTTAATAATTTCAATTTATGTACATGAAGTTTCTAAGCTTAAAAGTAACAGAATTCTCACATTAGCAAAATATTGCTACTTTTATCCTGTTTGTGCCAAGATAATGTGGCCTTCAACAAAAAATTAAGATTATGTGTTCTCACCTGAGTGATTGTTGACATTGTTTAGAGAAATATTTGTGACTGAATGTTTGCTTAGCAGGAAATTTCAAGTTCTTCAATAGTTAATCATTTCTTAAATACTAACTCTGCTATTAAAATTATTTAGTTCTTCCTACTTGACTTTGTGTAAAGAATTTGGGGTGCAGTAAGTAAAAATAAAGTGCATCCTTATATATGAAAGTAGTCTCTTTGTATGCTAACCAAAACCTTAAAAAGTTCATGAAAACAGTTTCTGCATTAGGAGTGCTGATAGACAAATATTATGATCCATAAGTTCTAGGAGAACTATTCTGCTACTTTATTATTTATAATTTTATTATAATTTAGTGTAATTATAATTTTCTGATTTTCTTCTTCATCTCTCATGTAGATGATTTATCTGGCTCAAAATGCTAAGCATGTTGCTGTCTCGTTTTATCATTTTGATTTAATGAATAAGTCTACAACCTCTGCCTAGCACCTGGGAAGTGTATCTGCAGAAATCCCTAGCTGGAAATGGTAGGTAAGCCCAAGTTGTAGTTACAAGATGTATTATTTCAAATACTACTAATTTTAAATAAGTGATCTTTCTTTCATTTTTTAAAAGTCAGAACATCAAAATTTAATACTAATATATTAGATTCCATTGTAGGAAAGTAACTACATTTAAATGTTTACCATAAAATTTAACTTGCAAGAGTGATAATAATCAATTCCCTATGAAAACATTCTGTAATCTATTCCCACTGCATCACTGGGAATCTGTTATACATATTGTATCTGTAATATTGAAATTCATACTTGAAACTGTGTTATATAAGTCTTCCATGGGCATTAGCATAACTCAATGGTGTAATCTCTGCTTTAAAAGTTGATCATACATCTAGAAATAGGTAATTTTAACTCTGTGAGAATTGATCCTATATTCTCAGCTTCTTTGATTACCAAATTCCACAAAATGTCTTTACAATAGACTTACTAAATTTTTTTGATCTGACAAACACTTATGGAGGTGCCATTTCTCCATATCATAGTGACTCATGGTTCATGGTTCAATCATATTAAGAGTTGGTGGGAAAAGAAGAAAGAGCATCCACTACTTTTCTTATACTATGAAGTTTTGAAACAGGTAACATATTAGATCTTATTCAAATAATGTTCACACTGTGTCATGGGGAAACTATTAATATTTATTTTTCAATCTAACGTTGGAATCTAAGGTGAAACAGCTGTTTTCCTATTGCCAATACCTCCTATCTGCATGTCTAACCCCTTTGTGAAATCATTTATCTATATTTGTTCCTTTCTGCTTTCAATTAGCATGTGGTTTTCAAGCATTCTTTTCCCTCAAATTACCACTTGAACTTACAGGGCTTCATACTCACTATTTTGCCCGTCGTATCTTTATATCCACCTAGTCATTTTCCTTTTCAAATACTTGCTACAATTTTATCAGCATTTCCATAAATATTTATCTGTAAGTAAGCCCCAGATCTTCACCATCTTCTAAATTGAATTCCAAACCAGCACTGGAATTAATTTAACATGTTCAAAGACAAAATTCATTTGCTTAGTTCTCCACCCAGTCATCCTTTACAACTTGTATTTCCTTTTTTCATATCAACTTTATTTTTCCTTTTAGTTTTCCAAGCTTTTAGTTAGGTTGTATATATAGTATAATTATTGTCTACCCTTTGTACATTATGGACTTTAGCTTGTGTTTTATCTGTTTTATCTTTCAAATATTTCTGTTTTTTACTTTCTCACTGTATTCATTTTAGTGCATGAACTTATAATTTACATAGTCTCTATGAAATAGATTTGTTCAATATCACTGCAGTGTACCTTGCCACCATTCTGGGTTACTCTCCAAAACTTGAACAATCCTGTCTACCCTCACACACCATTGAAAAATGTACAGAAGTATTTCATTGTTTGTAAAACTCCACATTCAAAATTTAGAACAACTTTCAATTCTCAAATCTGTAATGGAAACTAAAAAATTAAAAAACTAAAAAAGCATTTATTTTGAAAATAAATTTATAATACATATAGTGAGTGGCTCAGAAATTACACATAGATGTAACCTTTTATAATGTAATGACTTTTATGACTGTCTTAAACGTAATAACCAAAATATTAGTGGCAGTTTGCCCCTGTGTATGGTGACACTTTCTGAATGTACTTCTGGGAAATACCAGAGCATTTTTTATATATTGCCTCCAATGATCAGAAAATTTCCACTATACTCAGGTTGTAGTTAGTTTGCAGCCTAAAAGAGGATATGAATTACCCAAATTTGGAGATAGGCCCTCTATTATACTTGGAAGAGCTTCTGTCCTCATGTGGCTGATGTGACTTATTCAAATGGACCAATTCTGGTTGATTCATGGGCAAGCCCAAGGAGCTCTTGAGTAATATACAAACATTTTTTAATTCCCTTGGAATCTGCTACATATGTTACTTTTAGCAAGCAGTATTTTGCCTTCTGTCATGTAGTCACTGTTAGACAATGTTTTATAAAAAGGTTAACAAAACAAGAATAGTAATAGGTGGTGGGGTACATATCAAGATTAAAAACCAGAAAATAACTGAATTTCTAATACACACAGTTTTGGTCTTGTTTATTGAGAATGTGTGTTCTATCATGAAAATGTGGCATTCGACTTCATATCCTGGAAATATTACCAAAACTTGCCTTACAAAATCCTTTGTCAATACATATAGGTATGTATATGTATATACACAAATAGATAATAATGTGTTTTTACATGTTCTTGTTTCCTTATTTGCTATAAATACAAAACAAATATTATTAGTTTTTCCATACTCATTTTATTTTTCTATTTTTTATGAGTTCTCTCATTTTCATAAACTAAACAAACCTACCTTTAACCTCTGTTTTATTATTATTATTATTATTATTATTATTATTATTATTATTATTCCTGAAACATTTCAAAATCCTATACTAAGAATTTAAGCTGTTTCTTCTATTGGGAATTTCTACACCACAGTAGATGCTACCTTTTGTTAAATTCTAAATTCTATCTCTCAATTTTAGTTTCAATATATTTTTTCCAAAATCTTTTTGACATCTTAGTGAAATTTCAATAGCATAATTGAAAGTTTTAAGTCTTAAGCTCCTATGCTGTAAACTGAAATCAAACAAAGTATTTGGTTAACATTATAATTACATTTATGTGCATATGTGTCTGTGTGTATGGGTGAACATGCTTTTGGTGGCCAATGGAGCCTGGTCACTGGAAGCCGGAGTTAAAGGTGGTGGTGTGCTATCCTATGTGGGCACTGTGATCCAAAGGAGTTCCCTAAAAGAACAGTGTGTGCTCTTAAGGACTGAGCTATCTCCCCAGCTCCCCAGCTCATTCTTTTTTTTTTTTTTTTTTTTTGAATTAGTGTCTTTCTGTATAGCACAGTAGACCTTGAATTTGCAATCTTTCTTTCTGCCCCAAATTCCTGAATACTGAGGTTTACGTACACAGACTCAATCACAAGGACGTAATTATAAACGTTGCATCATTTTGTAAATTATGTGAGTGTTTTACATGTTTGTTATTTCCCTGAATTTTTCATCTTACTCACAGAATCCAAGAGAAGAAATCAAAAAGATTGCCAGCTTTCTACAAAAGACCTTGGATGAAGAGACCTTGGACAGGATCATCCATCACACTTCCTTTGAAATTATGAAGGACAACACCTTGGTCAATTATATCCATCTTCCCTCATCATTGATGGATCACAGCAAGTCCCCTTTCATACGAAAAGGTAAAAATTTTCTGAATGTAATTCCCATGTTTACTTTCTTGTGAAGCTCTAGTTCTGTGATTTCTGCTGTTTTATTTAATTTCTTTAAGTTTCAGTTCTTCATAGGAAACCAATGAAAACTAAAAACACATATAGTCTAAAGTAACCTTATTATGCACATAGTTACAAACAGTTTGATAAATACTTTTCTTATTTATATAATTGACTTTCACAATTATCATGCAATTTCATTTTTGTCATTCTACTCCACTCAATAAACTGACATAGACCTTCTTCTTTCCTCAATATCTATTAATAGGCAAATTCTTTAAAGCCCCATGTGATTTACAAAATAATTGTCATTATTTATGAAGAAAATTCACCAAAAAAGAAGTTTTTTTTCCTTATGGGAAATTTTTCAACTTTACAGATACTATTTGAATTACAGGAAGAAGAGCCCAAATTTAACTTAGAAGAATATGGAATTCACTTTTGAAATTCTTTGTTTACTATGAAGCAAACATATCATTCTGGCTTCTTATACATAGTCTGTTTCAGTAATAATAAATTAACCCATTTCATAAATTAACTTAAAATTTAGATGTTTTCATCCTACTTGTGATACCTGCTATTTTGATTATTGTTTCTTGGAATAGATATAGAGGAATAGGATTCTCTTTTGTGCTTGTATGTGAGAATAACTCCAGGAATGTGTGTGGCCAAAGACATATAATCAGAACAAATTTAAAAAGCATTATATTATGACATTTTAATACAAGTTTTAATCTTATTAAAATAACAAGTCTTAAAAAATAAAAATTAAAAAATAGCAAGTTATTTAGTGTTAAATTAAATTTACTTGAAAAACAGTGCATTTGGCTTCAAAGATAACTTCTAATATAACAGAACATAGAAAAGTATTCTTAGTGTTATTCTAACTTAGAACAAAATGACATATACATTTATATTCATATAAAGATTGTCTGATGGAGCTTTAAACACAATCTATTTTATAAAGCAGCCAAACTCAGTCATGTCTCTGCATGAAATTTCCCAAAGAGTTTTAGTCCAGTCATATGAAGAGGGATGTGATCTTTTACAGTAGCTCAAAGATTGCTTGTAGGGCCCTGCGTGGATCCCTGATGCACCTTGAGCAAGCATGAAGCTGTTGGCCAGAACGCCTTGCCTCAAAGCTGCTATTGGTACTCTTCCTGTTTTGAAACACACACCTTGTAACAACACAAACCTCTGGGGAAGGAGCTAAGCCTAAAAATCATGTTATATTCCACTGTGCTATAAGTCAGTATTTAAGACCGTTTCTTCCCCTCAATAAACTGTATTCAGCATTTGGTGTTCCAACATTGCCATTGAACAAATGACCCGCTGTCTTGTCTCTTTATTTCAATCTTTAGGCCTTCACCTGATTGGTGGAACAGATCGTAGCACGGGTGCTACATTGCTGAGTAGAGACACAGTGAGACTTGTGTCTGGATTTGACATATTGTGCAACTTTACCATGGAAGTATACATGCTAATTCAACTTGTGAAGTCATTACATTCCTGTAGGGAAAGAAAATAACATGTTCTGTGGTTAGCTTTATCCGGGTGAGAATTCTGTCTAAATCTATGATATCAACTACATTAACCAGCAAGCCAAAGTTTTACATGCATCATTGACAAAATAAGTAAAAAAAAAAAATAAAAATAACCTCTATGGAATAAAATTTGGGAAAACACTACATGAAACATGATACATAACAATTCAGATTACTTTCCAACCAGAAATTATTCATATATGTGAAATATTGGTGGTGATCTCCTAGATTCATTCATTCATTCATTCAATTCACTCCTTCAATATACTGGGCACATGTTTATTCAATAACTCACATAGTAAGGCTCCTCATGAATACCTGCCTGAGGAACTTGTTCCTTCAAACATTCAAAGTCATATGTTTGTCTCAAGACAGGAGTGTTATATGTTTGGCTTTAATATTACTCTCACCTAAAATAAAAATGAAGTATAGATTTTGTGAATTAGGGGACAAGTGTCTTCCAATGATCACAGAATTTTCATTTGCAAATTCCAGGAAATTAAACTCACATGCTTCCCATTTGAGTGTTCTTTTGAATGATGAGCAGTTCCTTGTATAGACTTGTGAGTAAATGAAATATGCACTTATGATGAAAATTGATCTCTAACTCCATGACCAAGAACAGTCAGGAGAAGTATAAGTTCTCCCTTATGAAACAGCACACTCTCTGAGAATTTAGATTAGATTAGAAAGTCATCTCTATCAAAATAAGCCTTGAAATATGAACTTCATGCTTAGTTATAAGCCTGTTTTACCAATGATAATATTTAAAATTTAAATGATGCTTTAAAACAGTCATATTTACTCAATATTAGATTATTTTTAAAGCTCCATCCAACAAAATTTATATCATAGTAAATGTATATACCAGTAACTTTAGTTCCAAACTAGAATAAAACTAATAAAACTTTTCTTTGTTCTTTTACATTAAAATTATATTGGAGCCAAATGCAGTATTTTGCAAATTCATTCTTTAAGTAACCCCCCTTTCTCTTGGTGAATATTCTCTTTGTAATTCATACTTTATTCTTTCATGTGTTCTTATTACTTTAGGTGTTGTTGGTGACTGGAAGAATTACTTCATATCTCTGGTTAGGGAGATAGTTGCTTCATAGCATGCTTTATAAATTTTTTTTCAAGTCTGTGTTCTAATGCTTAGAAATATTTTGACGCCTGACTACTATGTCATATAATTATCAACATGATCTAGATCTGTGTTTTTATCCTACAGTTATTCATGTTTGTCTGTAAAATAAACTATCTCTTGTTCCCTTTAATGTAAGAGCTATGTTTCTAATTTTGAAACAATCATATCTACAAGAAATAGTAATGTTCTTCTTAACATAACCTTTCTACAAGAAATAGTAATGTTCTTATTAAACATAACCTTTCTACAAGAAATAGTAATATTCTTACTAAACATAACCTTTCTTCATCGGTTTACAAAATGAAATAATTTGCATTAATTACTATTGGAGTGGGATAATAAAATAGAATATATTCTAATTCAAAACTTAGCAATTTATTATGGGAGTGTTAAAAAATGCCCTGGAGCTGGAATCACAGGCATCTGTAAGTCACCATATATGAATGGTAGGGCCAATACTCATAATTGCTGGAAGAACAGCTAGCTCTCTGATTTTCTTTGTCATTCTTTAGCTACAGAATGATATGAATTTTCATATTTTATTGCTATTTTGTTCATATTATAAATCATCCTAGACTATCATACAGAAAAAATATCTTATTCATTTTACAGTGACTAAAGTGTGACTTAAAGATTTAAATCTGCCTTCACAAAACCACTCTTAGCTGTTTCATTATGGTACATAAAATTATATATAAATACAATAAATAAAATCATAACAAAAATAAAGTGATGGTTCCCCAAATGACAATAGAAATGTTCTGAGCTATAGCCAGCATAAAATCTCTATAGCTTTAGGGAAATTGCCTGAGAAACTATAATTACATTTAAGAATGTAATTTCCTTTATAATTAATTTTTACTTAAATTAAAAACAATCTTATTTTACATACCAATCCCAGTTCCCTCTCACTCCTGTCCTTCCATTCCCCTCACTAACTTTCCATCCCACTTACCATATACTCCCCAGGAAGCTTGAGGCTTCCCATGGGGAATCATCAAAGTCATCTGGGTCAAGACCTAGGCCTTCTCCCTTGTATCTAGGCTGAGAGAGCATTCCTCCATAGAAACTGGACTCCTAAAGGCCATTCGTGCAAAAGGGGTATTGGTTCCATTGCCAGAGAAGCCCCATAGACTTCCCAGGCCCCCCCAATTGACACTCATGTGCAGGGGTACTGGTTCAGTCTTAATGTTACTTCCCCAACTGTCCAACTAGGTCCGTGAGCTCCAATTAAGTTGTTTCTGTGGGTTTCCCCAGCATGGTCTTGATCCTTTGCTCATCACTCCTCTCTCTACATACAACTGGATTTCAGGAGTTCAGCTCAGTACTTAACTGTAAATCTCTGCTTCTGCTTCCATCAGCTACTGGATGAAGGCTCTATGGTGGTATTTAAGGTAATCATCAATCTCTTAGAGGAAGGGCATTCAGCCATATCAACCTGAATAGCCTGATCTCAGAAGCTAAGCAGGGTTGGGCCTGGTTAGTACTTGAATGGGAAGAATGTGATTTCTTTATCAACAATTGGTGCTTCTTAAAATTGAAAAAAAAAAAAACAGTGATGATAGCATTATTTAAACTTGTGTAAGCTACTTCAAGTTTCTACTTTGATCTGAAAGCTTACTCATTACAAAGGAATATCTCTGGTGAAATTCACACTATCCCAACAAAAGATTAGTGATTTTGAAACAAAGCATATTTAGTAGTCACTGACTGTCCTCTGCCCTGTACTCATTTATTCATGCTGTCATAAATATTATGGAGAATCTTCTCTTGCAATAAGGAAAACCAAAAAAGAGTAAAGAAGTGAAATATTTCCTTATGCTTTATATTTCTATATTCATTTCTTCAGATCAAAACAGCTATATATTTTAGAAGCTCTTCAAAGCAAGTGAAATTCACATGCTTCTCCCTAGAGGTTCTGAGTAAGAAACTCTAGAATGAGACCATGTACTCTGTGATTCATATAACCACTTCAAGTGGCTTTGTGGCAATAATACCGAGTGCTGTTTCCAAGTGACAAATGCAAACTGCTTTTTGTTTTCCCCATGGTTGATAGATAAATGAAAATAGCTACAAAGACAACATGCTTTGTTCGTATTTGTAAGCACAGAAAGTAAAATGAGAAAATCAGGCAAAAACATGTAACTAATTATTTAGTATAAAGATAAAAGATCTTGACAAATTAAAGCTCTACACTGGGTCTTTTGACAAAAGTACAATATGTTTCAAAATCAAACACATGGGTGAGTTTCCAAGTACAACATGATCACTGTAGGACCCATTCATTAGCTTAGATAATTACTACAGATTGGTTTTCTTTAAAGTTTTCCTTTATTTTTTTCCTATAAATCAATCCTTTCACTGTACAAAAACTAAGCTTCTGATGGGATTAGTGTACATGAAACCTATACCTCCAAGATGTTTACCTTGAATTTTTTCTTTTGTCTTTCTTTCTTTCTTTTTTTTTTCTTTACAGTCATAATTTAGGCTGTAAGGTTGAAGTGTAGTGGGTTTTCTGTTATAAAAAATATATAAGAAATGCAAAGAGGGAAGCATAAGTACCTAAATTAGTTTATAGATAAAGCATAATCAAAGCATCCTCATGCTCACTGAATATAATTTGAGAGGCACCAAAGTTCTTTGCCAGCCAGAGTCTTCATTTGCCTGCCTGCATGTATGGCTTACATACACCCAAATAAATACTGTTGGGTAATCATGTGCAAGTATCAGGGGAATATTTAGTATGCTAACAGGATTGCATTTAAGCTTCCTGTTCTTTCAGTCAATAATCCTGTGAATGGAAACCACAATTGTGATTTGTAGCAGTGGAGGTTAGTTTATCTTGAAAAATTCATGAATGATGTTGTAGGAAGTTCAACAGTTAAGAGAACTGGTGACTCCTTCCAGAAGATGAGGATTCAATTAAAATAAATACCCATGGTACACAAACATATAGCCAAAGTACCAATATACATTGAATAAAGTGATAAAGATATACTAAAGGAATAATATAAGTATAATATCTTGTTTTTCAGGCCTTTAAAAACTTATAAAATTACATAGTTTACGTGAATATATTCTGGTTGTTGCTCCTTTGTTTATTATAGGCATTTCAAATATATTCCTGGCTCCATGATTTGAGTTTTTGGTCACACAATAGCTTAAAAATTTTTTTCATCCTAATTATTATCTAACTCATCATGTTACTTTATTGTATACATTTGAATCATATGTAAGGCATACTTGATTGCTACTTATGTCATTAAGGCATGTACCTATTCATACTAAATTTCTAGTTTTTGTTTCATCTGAATCTGTAATAAATTATTTACATGAAATGACTAAAGCTATGTTTCTTCACTGGAGGGATATGCAATGATCCCGTACAACTTACTAACAACACTGTCTTTCTTTACCTGTGCCATAGATTAATTTTCCTTATATGTGTGGTTCAGTGGTTTCAGTGAGACATGTACCCCACAGTCTCCAGCATTTGAATTCTTGGTCCCCAGTTGGTGGTATTGTTTGGAAAAATGTTTGTTGTACAGCCTTGATGGAGGAAGTATATCATTGGGCATGAACTCTGAGAATTTCCAGTTCACTCCTTCTGCCTCTTCCTTGTGATTAAAGATCTGAGTTCTCAACTTTCTGCTCCTGCCTTCCCACCATAATGGATACATCCTTCTGGAACCATAAATCAAAATAAACCGTTAGTTCTGCAAGTTACTGTGTTCATTGTGCTTGTGAGTGCAATAGCAATCAGAGTAGGACAGAATTTGATGCCTCAGAATGAGCTGTTGCTGTGAAGAACATGTCCATGGTGCTTATTGGAAATAAAGGACGGGTAGTAGAGAAAGGCTATTAATGGTAATACCCAAGGCCACATGACCCAGTTTAGAATGAGGACTTCAATTGACATGAACATTTTTGTCCTACTTTGTTAAGGGCTTGTTTGTGCACTTCTATTAAGGAATATTTGCATTTTCTTTCCTTAATTTCTTCATCATGTAATGCAACACCAGTTGACATATTGGTGGCTAACTACTATGCATCTATAATGTCATATTGAACTTAGGAGACATCAAGACTCATCATTCCTTAATGACTTTGACACCTACTCTAAAATATAAAGTGTGTTTGAGGTTGTATGCTAGGGGAAATTATGACCTGCATATTGTTTTCACTTGGAAATTAAACATGGCATGAGCAGATGTTATCGCTGTGTCAAATTGACAAGTTGTGAACTTGGGTTGGCTAATCTTGGAGGTTGCTAACTTGACTGCATCTGGTATCAACCAAATTTCAACTGCTAAGCAGTCCTGTGATGGATCAGCTTAAAGAACTTGAAGTAGAAACACTCACTCTGAATATGGGCTGCACCTTCTGATTGTAGCACTGATAAGATGACTTTGCCTGCTTGCCATCAAACTTACTAGCAAGTCCATCTATCCTGAAGTTGTGGCATTCCTTAATTGATATTGAAACTTCAGAATTCCAACAAAGACTGAAAACTGGCAGGTTCCTCCAGGATTTGGGTGGCAGATCGGAACTACTGGACATCTAGCAATTTGGAGCTTTTCTATGTGAGACAGCCACTGTTGGATCACATGAACCACAACTTGTAAGCCCATCTAATAACTCCAGCACACACACACACACACACACACACACACACACACACACACACACACACACATATATATATATATATATATATATATACATACATATATATCAGTTCTGTTCCTTTACTGAAAAGTACTTGTAGGTCTGTTTTCGATCTTTAGTTTTCTTATTCCATGTCTATTCTCATATTGGCACCAACATTTTGTATTAATATAGTTTAGTATTCAATTTTACTCATTTATAAAAATAATCAGAAACCATGTCTCTAGCCTTTAGTTCCTAGATGTCTCATTCAGTTCTCAGGCCTCTGGGCAGCCAGAGTCTTTTCTATAACCATTGCCC